GAAACAGAAATAAAGGTATTCAATTAGGAAAAAGAGGAAGCCATATTGTCTCTGTCTGCAGATGACATGATTGTATATTTAGAAGACCCCATCGTCTCAGCCCAAAATCTCCTTAAACTGATAAGCAACTTCAGCAAAGTCTCAGGATACAAAATCAATGTGCAGAAATCACAAGCATTTCCATACACCAATAACAGACAAACAGAAAGCAAAATCAAAAGTGAACTCCCATTCACAATTCCTACAAAGAGAATAAAATACCTAGGAATACAACTAACAGGATGCAAATGACCTCTTCAAGGAGAACTATAAACTGCTACTCAATGAAATAAGAGCAGACACAAACAGATGGAAAAAACATTCCATGCTCATGGTTGGAAGAATCAGCATCGTGAAAATGGCCATACTACCCAAAGTAATTTATAGATTCAATGCTGTAAATTGAATCATCAAGCTAACAATGACCTTCTTCACAGAACTGGAAAAAAACCACTTCAAACTTAATATGGAACCAAAAAAGAGCTCACATAGCCAAAACAATCCTAGGCAAAAAGAACAAAGCTGGAGGCATCTTGCCATCTGACTTCAAACTATGCTACAAGGCCACAGTAATCAAAACAGCATGGTACTGGTACCAAAACAGAGACATAGACCAATGGAACAGAACAGAGGCCCTAGAAGCAACACCACACATCTACAGTCATCTGATCTTTGACAAACTTGACAAAAACAAGCAATGGGGAAAGGATTGCCTGTTTAATAAATGGTGCTGGGAAAACTGGCTGGCAATATGAAGAAAGTAAAAGATATCTTACACTAAAATTATCTCCAGATGGATTAAAGATCTAAGCATAAGGCCTAACACCATAAAAACCCTATAAGAAAACCTAGGCAAAACCATTCAGGATGTAGGCATAGGCAAGGACTTCATGACTAAAACACCAAAAGCAATGGCAAAAAAAAGCCAAATTAGACAAATGGGATCTAATTAAACTCCACAGCTTCTGTACAGCAAAGGAAACAATCATTAGAGTGAACTGGCAACCAACAAAATAGGAAAAAATTTTTGCAATCTACCCATCTGACAAAGGGTTAATATCCAGAATCTACAAGGAACTAAAACAGATTTACAAGAAAAAACAAACCCATTCAAAAGTGGGAGAAGGATATGAACAGACACTTTATAAAAGAAGACATCTATGCTGCAAACAAATGTGAAAAAATGCTCATCAACACTGGTCATTAGAGAAATGCCACATTGAGATACCATCTCACACCAGTTAGAATGGCGATCATTAAAAAAATCTGGAGACAACAGATGCTGGAGAGGATGTGGAGAAACAGAAACACTTTTACACTGTTGGGAGTGCAAATTAGTGCAACCATTGTAGAAGACAGTGTGGCAATTCCTCAAGGACCTAGAAAGATATATACCATTTGACCCAGCAATCCTATTATGGGGTATATACCCAAGTAATTATAAATTGTTCTGTTATAAATACACATGCACACGTATGTTCAGGTTGCGATACTGTTTACAATAGCAGAGACCTGGAACCAACCCAGATGTTCATCAGCAGTAGACTGGATAAAGAAAATGTGGCACATATGCACCATGGAATACTATGCAGCCATAAGAAATGATGAGTTCATGTCCTTCATAGGGACATTAATCTGGAAACCATCATTCTCAGCAAACTGACACAAGAAAAGAAAACCAAACACTATATGTTATCACTGAGAGGTGTGTGTTGAACAAGTAGAACATGTGGACACAAGGAGGGGAGCATCACATACTGTGGTCTGTTGGTGGGGGATAGGGGAGGGACAGCAAGTGGGGGGGAGGTATAACGAGGGGAGAAATACAAGATATAGGTGATGAGGGGATGAAGACAGCAAACCACCTTGCCATGTATGTACCTATGGAACATTCCTGCATGATCTGCACATGTACCCCAGAACCTAAAGTACAAAAAAAAAGTGCTGTATTGGTTTGTTCTCACACTACTAATAAAGACATACCTGAGACTGGGTAATTTATAAAGGAAAGAGATTTAATTGACTCACAGTTTTATATGACTGGGGAGGCCTCAAAATCCTAGTGGAAGATGGAGGAGCAAAGGCACATCTTATGTGGCAGCAGGCAGGAGAGCCTGTGTAGGGGAACTGCCTTGTATAAAACCATCAGATCTTGTGAGACTTATTCACTGTCATGAGAACAGCACAGGAAAAACCCACCCCCATGATTCACTTACATCCCACTGAGTCCTTCCCATTACGTGGGGATTATGGGAGCTACAATTCATGATGAGATTTGGGTGGGGACACAGCCAAACCATATCAACTGCTAAATAGCAATTTGATAAAGGAAGTCTACAAAACACACACACAAAATCATACTTAAAGGTGAAACACTGAATGCTTTCTACCCAAGATAGGAAAACAAGGATATTTACTTTTACCACTTACTGGAAGTCTTGTCGGTACAGTCATGGAAGACAGTGTAGATTATTAGTTTATCGCCTCATACCCCATTTCCATATTCTGTATCATAGCATCCTTTTTTCCCCTAATAATTGTTATATATTCATTAATTTACCTCTGTATTGCCAGTCTTTCTCAGTAAGCTCCTGGAGAGGGGCATCTGGCATAGTATCTGTCATAGAATTATAATAAATATTTGGTGTATTAATTGCTGTCATTCATTGAGGGCTTGCTCTGTACTGTGCTCTATCCTAAACACTTTACATGCATTATGTTATTTAATTCTTTAGCAACCCAATAATATGGTTAATTTTCTCACTTTACTGTACCAAATAGTTACATAGGGTTTATTATGTGCTAGGCACTCTCTATACACCTTACTTGTTCTACCCATTTTATAGACTAGGAAACAGGGATTAAGAGTTTAGCAGTTTACCTAAGTAGTTGAGCCAGTCTTTGAACTTAGGAAGTCTAACTTTAGATCCTGTGCTTTTAAACTATTCTATACTACCTCACTAGAAAACAAAGAAATAGAGTGCTTTTCTATTCTCATCTTAATTTAATTTTTAAATTTAAAAAATAGCAAGTTTGGGCCAGGCACAGTGGCTCACGCCTGTAATCCCAGCAATTTGGGAGGCTCAGGCAGTTGCATCACCTGAGGTCAAGAGTTCAAGACCAGGCTGGCCAACATGGAGAAACCTTATCTCTACTAAAAGTACAAAAAAAAAAAAAAATTAGCCAGGAGTGGTGGCAGGCGCCTGTAGTCCCAGCTACTCAGGAGGCTGAGGTGGAAGAATCGCTTGAACCCAGGAGGCAGAGGTTGCAGTGAGCCAAGATTGCACCACTGGACTCCAGCCTGGGCAACAGAGGGAGACTCTGTCTCGAAAAAAAAAAAAAAAATAACAAGTTTGTACTAACAAATCTGTGCAGTGCAACAAAATGTAAAATTAAAAGTTATCTTATTTACACTCTCAAATTCTACTCCTCACAAAGTCAACAGCCCTTAATGTCTTGATGTGTACTATTTAGGAGTTTCAAGAAAGGAAAAATTTCTAAATGAGATACTGTTTTTTTCTGAGTAGTGTAGCAGACATTTAAAAACGATTACTGGCTAGGCATGGTTGCTCACGCCTGTAATCTCAGCACTTTGAGAGGCCGAGGTGGGTGGATTGCTTGAGGTCAGGAATTTGAGACCAGCCTGGCCAACATGGTGAAACCCCATCTCTACTAAAAATACAAAAATTAGCTGGGTGTGGTGACACGTGCCTGTAATCCCAGCCACTCTGGAGGCTGAGGCAGGAGAATCTCTTGAACCTGGGAGATGGAGATTTCAGGAGCCCAGATCATGCCACTGTTATTTCAGCCTGGGTGACAAAGTGAGACTTTGTCTAAAAAACAAACAACAAAAAAAAACCAATTACTAATATATATTATTGGCAAATGTATGGAGATCAAGCACTTAGGTACACTACTGATGGGAATCTAAATTTGTACAGTCTTTCTGGTACATAATTTGACAGCCTATCAGAATTTTGAATGTGTTTATCTTTGATCTATCAGTTGTTTTTCAAGGGTTTTTTTCTAGGAAAAAAATTGGGTAAATACCATAAACTTTGTAAGATATGTGCATAAAGGTAAAGATACATACTGTATAGTTTATAATAGCAAGTTTTAAAATTCAGCATTCAAACAGTCCTTGACTAATCTGGAGGTGTTTGGTGAATTACAGTATGTTACCATTTAGACAGTTAAATAATGGTAGAATTTTTTCTTTGTGAGATAAATCAGAGTAGACTTAAAGTAAAATAAACCTTCTCCTTAAGAAAAGTCAATTCCTTTAAATCAGTTTCCTCATTTAAAATCATTGTAAGGTGATGTATGGAACTTACTAACATAGCTCCTGATAATAAGTAATGGCTATTATTACTACCATCTCCGAATTTTTTAGTTAACATTTTTTGGTAATCAGAAAAAAAAATTTACGTGTGTGCGTGCATACACACAATATGACCTCAGCTAGGTAGCTTATACCATATCAACTATCAAAGGTTTGTTAAAAACCAGTTCTTAGATTCAACAAACATAAATTTAGGTGGTCTGGCTCCCTGTGAACTCTGGCAACTCTCTAAATTTTAAAAATAACCTTAACTCCAAAATGGAAATCCTAACCAAAGTGCCAAACTCTTGAGTGTTTTTTTGAGGCTCGAATTAAATAATGTAAATATGAGTAATTTGAAAAAGTGCTCTACAAACACATTTCGTATAAGAGCTGGTTTTAAGCATATTGCTTTGCTAGATTATCTATTGCCTAACATAATGCCTGGAATCTAATGGGTTATACATTTGTTACTTACATATTTTTTAATTGATAAATTTTTTGCTTTTTTCCTGCATATTCAAAGTTTGATTTATTATAATCCTTTGATACATAGATTTTCAGTTTTTTCACTTTTTGTTATTATAGAAAAAATAACTATTAAAATTGGTTTACAGTGTTGCTCTTTCTCTTAATTTAGGAATGGAACATTACTAAACTTTCAATTGAGTATGATTCTGAGCCCTTTGGCAAGGAACGAGATGCAGCTATTAAGAAACTGGCAACTGAAGCTGGAGTAGAAGTCATTGTAAGAATTTCACATACATTATATGACCTAGACAAGTGAGTCTTTTTTTTTCTTTTCTTTTTTTACTATGGGAAAATGCATATAACATAATATTTATTATCATCTTAACCATTTTTAAGTATATAGTTTGGTGGTGTATAACTACATAGAGAAGTTTTTAACTGAGGTTTATGAAGTAGAAATCAGAGTTATGGAAGAATTAAGTGAATATATGTCAAATCCTTAGCATTTTATTTCACTGCTACTGACCCAACAACAGGTATCAGCATTTCCATTTCAAAACTGTTATGGATTAAGACTGTTGCAAAATTTTCCTCGACTACTCTTAACTCAGCCTCCTGTGGTCTTGCCTTTCTGGGCTCTTAGCATTATCAATTTATAGTTATATTATTCATAGTTATAAATTGCCTTGATATTTTGTATGTTTGTTTAATGTTATCTTATTTTCATATATATCTATCTGTCTGGATTTTAAATCCAGATGCAAATTGGATGTAATATAATGTGCATAGCTATAGTCCTCTGAATAATCGCATAATAGGATGTTTCTCAAAGTGTATTTCTTGAAACACCAGTCCTGGCTGATGCTTTGTCCCACTGAAATTCTGTGGTAAAACTTAAATTTAGGGAGTATTATATGCTTGAGTCTTAGAGATCTATAAAACTTCTTAACTTGCTAAAACTTTTAGCATGCCATTGTCCTTTTAAGTACTGAAATCTTATAATTTATGTACCTTTTAAATCATTTTGCTTTTTAGTAATTTATATATTTTATCTAGTAAGACAAATTCTGTAACATGACAAACTAGTTGATTTGATTTGACATTTTAAGTCTATCAAAAAATCATGATTTGATTCAGACAAAGGTCTAACTTGATATTAAGCTAGAATTCATATATCTTTTAGTAATAGCCTTGCTTTCTATCTCACCAATTTGCTGAACTTTAGGGAGCTCATAGAAAGGAGGTGGCAAAACAGGATAAAAGCAGTTGCTTCTAAGTGGGAGATTCAGTGTTATGCATAAAATTAGTGTTTATTGAATTGAATGCAAATATTTACTATATGTAATCTATCATATTAAAATGTAACATATAGAAAGTGTTTTGTCCTAAGATTTTCATTTTGCTGCTATTGTGTAGTTACCAATGTCCTCAGTAGTAGTATTGTAATACATTACATTATCAGTTTATTCATAGGGTTGCAATGAATTTGTAGCAAAATTCATGTAATGATTTTGTAGCAAAATTACAAATTCATGTAATGATTTTATAGCAAAATTTATTGCAAACCTATGAATAAACTCAAAATACACAAAGCAAAATTTACTTAAACAGGATAGCTTTTATGGTGATTGCTTTCTGTATTACTTTCTGTATCTGTAGTTGATACATAACTATGTATGGTATGAAAAAATACAATAAAATATACTAAGAAAACCTTGATTTGCCATTTATCAGTTATATGACCTTGACTAGATTACTTAACCCTCCTGGTAGGCCTGTTTCCACATCTATAAAATGATGGACCCCAAAACCTAAAATGCAATAAAAATAAAAATAGGCCGGGCGCAGTGGCTCAAGCCTGTAATCCCAGCACTTTGGGAGGCCAAGGCGAGTGGATCACGAGGTCAAGAGATCGAGACCATCCCGGTCAACATGGTGAAACCCCATCTCTGCTAAAAATACAAAAAATGAGCTGGGCATGGTGGCGTGTGCCTGTAGTCCCAGCTACTCTGGAGGCTGAGGCAGGAGAATTGCCTGAACCCAGGAGGCAGAGGTTGCGGTGAGCCAAGATCACGCCATTGCACTCCAGCCTGGGTAACAGGAGCAAAACTCTGTCTCAAAAAAAAGTAAATAAATAAATAAATAAAAATAAAAATAAAAAATATATTTTTTAAAAACGATGGAATTGGATTTCACCTGTGATTTTTTATTAAGGCCAAATGCTAAGCAAATGGCCATAGTGAAAAAGAGTAGTTATTCCAAAATAGTGTTTAAACTTAATCTAAACTACCATTGGCAAAGCTAGTTGTTTTTTTTTTTAATTAAGTCTTGATTGAGGTAATTAGTGATCAGAAGTAAATGAAAAGGTAAATTTAAATAACTTGAAATTTGGGGGCTTATGTGTTCTAAGTATGTGACATAGATACATATGCTGACATCTCTAATGAAGGCATGAGTACAATGGTAAATAGAAAGTAATTGTAATTTACTTTTATAGTAATATAGAATCCAAATTAATAAAATTTGCTGAAGGAAATAGGGGAATTGTATTAGTCTGTTTTCAGGCTGCTGATAAAAACATACCTAAGACTGGGCAATTTACAAAAGAAAGAGGTTTAATGGACTTACAGTTCTACATGGCTGGGAAGGCCTGACAATCATGGTGGAAGGCAAGGAGGAGCCAGTCACATCTTACATGGATGGCAGCAGGCAAGGAGGGAGCTGTGCAGTAAAACTCCCCCTTTTAAAACCATCAGATCTTGTGAGACTTACTCACTATAATGAGACCAGCATGGGAAAGACCCGCCCCCATGATTCAGTTACCTCCCATAATATGTAGGAATTGTGGGAGTTACAATTCAAGATGAGACTTTGGTAGGGTCACAGCCAAACCATATCAGGAATGTAGATCCAAAGATACAAAGTAGAAGTTATATAAGATGAACAAGTCTAGAAGTCTAGTGTGCAGAGTGAGGGTTTTAGTTATTAAAATTGTATTTTATTTGGAATTTTTATCAAGTAGATTTTAGCTGATTTTGTCACACACATACAAAAAAGTAACTATATGAGATTTATAAATACATTAATCTGCTTCACTATAGTAACCATTTTACTGTCTACTTGCATACCATAACGTGTTGTAAAGCTCAAATATACACAATTAAATTTATTTTTTCTAAATGACACCTGCTGATTTACTCTTTCATATAATTGTCAACCTGGTTTAGTTTTTATTGGTGATTGAGAGATTCTTTGAGCTGGGCCATAACGTGTTTTGCATATGTCTGTGTGTTTTAACTTTTTGTTATTGCCTTTAGACTGATTTACTTACTTACTTGGTTTTTTTTCTCATAAGTCCTTAATATTCTTTGTCTTAAAGGTTTTGATACTTGCATAGTGTGTATATATTTGATACCTAGAGTGTCTAGAAGCTAAAGGGAATGATTTTTAAACTCATTAATCATTTTGAACACATTTCTTCGTCATTATAACAAGCTAACATTCTCCTTGAAGATTTCAGTGATTAATTTTATTTTCTGCTTTTTAAGCCTTTTGGGAGCTTATTAACCAAAACTTATTGCCCTCTTTTATACTAACCTACATTTTACTAACTGTTGTTATAGGATCATAGAACTCAATGGTGGACAACCGCCTCTAACTTATAAAAGATTCCAGACTCTCATCAGCAAAATGGAACCACTAGAGATACCAGTAGAGACAATTACTTCAGAAGTGATAGAAAAGTGCACAACTCCTCTGTCTGATGACCATGATGAGAAATATGGAGTCCCTTCACTGGAGGAGCTAGGTGAGTATAAACTATAATCCGTGTGAGTCTTAAAAGTTAATAAATCATAAATAACTCAGAAAAATTCCCTTTCAATTTCGCCATGTAAAGTATTTTGCATTAGGAGAGAAAGAAAGGGTGGGGGAAGAAGAAAGAAAGAACTCTTTAAGAAGTGATATGTTTGTTCATCATTTATGTGTTCTATAGATATGTAATCTGTTGTTATCACCTTAAGATGTACATCCTAAAAAATTGAAACCATGTCAAACTATGTCATATCCTCTTTAGGTGAGGGCTTTTTTAGGCCCTCAGTTCCTTTTTATGGTACTCTCTCAGTTTTTCTGCAAAGTAATTTATTCTCCCAGTTATTGGGGTTAAATAAAAATTATTTGAGTTTCAGAAGAATGATATTTTTTTCTTTTCTTTCTTTTAGGGTTTGATACAGATGGCTTATCCTCTGCAGTGTGGCCAGGTGGAGAAACTGAAGCACTTACTCGTTTGGAAAGGCATTTGGAAAGAAAAGTATGACAATATAGATTATATAGCTATGCTCATATTTCCAAACTGCCATTTAAAAATAATTTTTCTCTCTTTTAAAAATAACAAATAGACTGTTGAAGGGGGAGCATTAAGGGAAATGGTTAAAATAGAATAAACCTAATTGTTTGAAAATTAACTACCCCTGTAATCCCAGCACTTTGGGAGGCCGAGGCGGGTGGATCACGAGGTCAAGAGATCGAGACCATCCTGGTCAACATGGTGAAACCCTATCTGTACTAGAAATACAAAAAATTAGCTCGGCATGGTGGCACATGCCTGTAATCCCAGCTACTTGGGAGGCTGAGGCAGGAGAATTGCCTGAACCCAGGAGGTGGAGATTGCGGTGAGCCAAGATTGCACCATTGCACTCCAGCCTGGGTAACAAGAGCAAAACACCATCTCAAAAAAAAAAAAAAAAGAAAATTAACTACCATCTCCTCACTTAAATGTTCTTTCTCCTTCTCTTCTAATTATTTCCCCTTTAGCTACTACCACACTACCTCTTCTGTTCTTTCTGCCTAAGCTGGTATCTAACGACCATAACTTTGAAACTAGGATAGAATTCTATTTCACCTTTACCTTTGTGTTAAAGAGGCAGGTTGAAGGCCAGGCATGGAGGCTCACACCTGTGATCCCAGCACTTTGAGAGGCTGAGGCAGGTGAATCACTTGAGGTCAAAAGTTAGAGACCAGCTTGGCGAACATGGCAAAACCCCCATCTTTTTTTTTTTTTTTTTTTTGAGACGGAGTTTCACTCTTATTACCCAGTCTGGAGTGCAATGGCGCGATCTTGGCTCATCGCAACCTCCACCTCCCGGGTTCAGGCAATTCTCCTGCCTCAGCCTCCTGAGTAGCTGGGATTACAGGCACGCGCCACCATGCCCAGCTCATTTTTTTATATTTTTAGGGCCAGGATGATCTCGATCTCTTGACCTCGTGATCCACCCACCTCAGCCTCCCAAAGTGCTGGGATTACAGGCTTGAGCCACCGCACCCAGCCCAAAACCCCCACTTTATTAAAAATACAAAAATTAGCCAGGTGTGGTGGTGTGTGCCTGTAATTCCAGCTACTTGGGAGGCTGAGGCATGAGAATCATTTGAACCCAGGAGGCAGAGTTGTAGTAAGCCAAGATCACACCACAGTACTCCAGCCTGGGTGATGGAGTGAGACTCCATCTCAAAATAAATAAATACATTTTCCAGGCATGGTGGCTCATGCCTATAATCCCAGCACTTTGGAAGGCCAAGGTGGGTGGATCACTTGAGGTCAGAAGTTTGAGACCAGCCTGGCCAACATGATGAAATCCCATTCCTACTAAAAATACAAAAATTAGCTGGGCATGGTTATGTCTGCCTATAGTCCCAGCTACTCAGGAGGTTGAGGTAGGAGAATCCTCCACCTGGGAGGTAGAGGTTGCAGTGAGCCAAGATTGCTCCACTGCATGCCAGCCTGGGTGACAAAGCAAGACCCTATTTCAAAAAAAAAAAAAAGATGTTGAAGTTCCTCTCAGCTTTCTGTTAGAAATTTGAAGGTAATTTATTTCATATGAGTATGTGTCACACAAGGATGACTGAAACAAAAGAATGCTCACTTTTTTATCCTCTCTTATTTTTTTATTAAAACATGTAATTTATGGCTAGGATAAGATTTGATCTCCCAAGAACTATGTAACTTCTTTTTAAAAAGCCTCCATTCTGAGCATTCTTTTAAAATGAAAAATACAATTAGTTAATGTCATTTTCTCTGTGTGTTTTCAGGCTTGGGTGGCAAACTTTGAAAGACCTCGAATGAATGCGAACTCTCTGCTTGCAAGTCCTACTGGACTTAGTCCTTATCTCCGATTTGGTTGTTTGTCATGTCGACTGTTTTACTTCAAACTAACAGATCTCTACAAAAAGGTATTCTCTAAAATTAGAGTTTATTGTTTAATACTTTAAAAAAAAATTCTGATAATACTTCTTTGCTTTTTAACCATAGGTAAAGAAGAATAGTTCCCCTCCCCTTTCCCTTTATGGGCAACTGCTATGGCGTGAGTTTTTCTATACAGCAGCAACAAATAATCCACGCTTTGATAAAATGGAAGGAAACCCTATTTGTGTTCAGATTCCTTGGGATAAAAATCCTGAGGCTTTAGCCAAATGGGCAGAAGGCCGGACAGGCTTTCCATGGATTGATGCCATCATGACACAGCTTCGTCAGGAGGGCTGGATTCATCATCTAGCCAGGCATGCAGTTGCTTGCTTCCTGACACGAGGGGACCTGTGGATTAGTTGGGAAGAAGGGATGAAGGTAAGTGTTCTAAGTTTATAACATGTCTTATTTTGAAGGAACCCTTACCTTAATAAAATAAATCCTAGAAGTTGTCTGTTATACAGATTCATTTATAGTCTAGTTTTTTAGTAGATAAAACATTTAATTCCACAAATACAGGCACACTTTCAGAGAGAAAAATGGTATAATCAGACAAGCAAAAAGGTGAAAACTGGTTAAATTGATTAACCTAAAGTCATTTCAGTGGTTAATCCAGCCTAGCCACTAAGAGAACTGTAAAATTTAACACTTGGATTTCTTGACAGATATCCTTATAGGTGATATTTTTGTCACAAAAAGAATTCACTCAAGAGTTCCTAGAAATAGTGAGTTCATATTACAAATTTTAAAATATAAATTATTTCACCTCACTTCAGCTTCACAGCTTTTTACTAATACTTCCATAAAGAGAAGTGTACTACATTTTGTGACATCATCTTATGGTTATAAGTAATAAGACTTACGTACTTTTTTTTTTTTGAGATGGAGTCTTGCTCTGTTGCCCAGGCTGGTGTGCAGTGGCATGATCTCAGCTTACTGCAACCTACGCATCCCAGGTTTAAGCAACTCTTCTGCCTCTACCTCTTGAGTAGCTGGGATTACAGGTACCTGCACTGTGCCCAGCTAATTTTGTATTTTTAGTAAGAGACAGGGTTTTACCCCATTGGCCAGGCTGGTCTCAAACTCCTGACATCAAATGATTCTCCTGCCTCAGCCTCCTGAAGTGCTGGGATTACAGGTGTGAGCCACTGCACCCGGTCATTACATACATTTTTTTACCTTTCTGGCTCTATCTTACATTTTCCCCATCCAAGAACTATTTCTGATCCTATGTGGTTTTTTTTTAATCTCTTATATTTCCTAGTACACAGTTGTATATAGAGAAGATATGTTGTAACATATTTATTGAATATATCTATCAGTCATTTAACTCTGTTTTCTTTCTGATCAAGGAATTCAAAATTAAACTGTGTAATGCTAGTATGTATTTGTAAGTGAATTCATATTTGAGTATGCTTCCTTTATTTAGGCTAGTGTACTAAGTTAAGTTTTTGTTGGTGATTTATGTAGTAGCATTTTTGCTTTCTTGAAAGTGGTTTACTGCTTTTCCTGTATCTACCAGTAATCCTATCCTTTTAAATTAGTGATTTGAATAATTTTTTTAACCTTCCCTTCTCCCAATAATACTGCAGAGACTGGAAAAGTAAATTCTATTCAGAAGCATACTATATTACCAATACATTTCTTTCTCTGGAAGAGCTCATTATAGAATAGAACATAGACAGAAGCTGACTTTGGAATGTGTAATTTTACAGTTCTGTGTTGTATTTTCTTTGCTTTGACTTTGGATCTACTGTGACCTTGAAGATGCTCACTTTGCAAATTATGTGTGTGCAAACTAATTGGTTACTGTTACTTCTGAAGGTATTTGAAGAATTATTGCTTGATGCAGATTGGAGCATAAATGCTGGAAGTTGGATGTGGCTGTCTTGTAGTTCCTTTTTTCAACAGTTTTTTCACTGCTATTGCCCTGTTGGTTTTGGTAGGAGAACAGATCCTAATGGAGACTACATCAGGTAAATCAAGGGTGATTACTACTCAGTTTGGAATAGCTAATTCAAGAAGAGCTTTTCATGTTTAATTAACACTTAAAGCATTGCCCACTCATAATGGGCAGCAGAGATGAGATGGGCCAACAGACCATTTAAATGGTGTTGATTTTATCTTGGTCTCTCATAGCTGGTAGTCATTATAGTTTGCTTAAGAGTGCATTTTATCAATCTTTCTTCTTTCTCCCAAAAGGCGTTATTTGCCTGTCCTACGAGGCTTCCCTGCAAAATATATCTATGATCCCTGGAATGCACCAGAAGGTATCCAAAAGGTAGCCAAATGTTTGATAGGAGTTAATTATCCTAAACCAATGGTGAACCATGCTGAGGCAAGCCGTTTGAATATTGAAAGGATGAAACAGATCTATCAGCAGCTTTCACGATATAGAGGACTAGGTATGTTAGTAACTGCCTTTGTTTCTTTGGCAGCTGTTTATATACCTATCTCTGAATTTGATCTTGATCATAATTTAAAAGAAATTTTTTTTGTCCTTTAGGTCTTCTAGCATCAGTACCTTCTAATCCTAATGGGAATGGAGGCTTCATGGGATATTCTGCAGAAAATATCCCAGGTTGTACCAGCAGTGGAAGTAAGTGAAAAGGAAATTTCTCCACTTAGTAACATAAAGAGGTTATTAAACAAATTTATTTGTTATTGGTCCTTCCTAACATATTTTATAAAAACCTATCTTTGAAATTAGCATAATAGATTCTTTGTACACATGCATACGTGTGCACCCAGGTACATCTCTTCACTCCATTGATGACATTTTAGAGATGGAAACATCATTACATGTAATAGATATTGGGTCAATTGCAAACTGAGGAGAGCAATTTTAAGGATAAAATGAAACTCAAATGTCATATTTTCAGAATTCTTATTATTTTATACTCTTTAGATCTACAGCAAGTATAAGGTAATTAGTTAAGAAGGTCAATGGCCCTGTGAGCATGACCAAAAAATTTATTGTACACATGCATAGAGCCCTCTACTCTTTTTGCACATGAGTTTTTTCTTATAAAGTCTGGTTTGTAGTATTTTTCTGTATGATATGAATTTAGTGATCATGTAAACTCTTATGTGTGATATTAATAATTTCAGGAAGTCAGTATGTATTAGAAATTTGAATCATCATATCAGTTTTTTGACTTTGACCAAAAATAACATGAAGCCCAGTAATTTGATTAAAAAATAGGACAGCATCAGTAAGAATGGAAATTATTAAAAAGTCAAGAAACTACAGATGCTGGCGAGGATGCAGAGAAAAAGAAAGATTCTTACACTGTTAATGGGAATGTAAATTAGTTCAATTATTGTGGAAGACTGTGGTGATTCCTCAAAGATCTAGAAGCAGAAATACCATTTGACCCAGCAATCTCATTACTGGTTATATACCCAAAAGAATATAAATCATTCTATTATAAATATATATGCACGTGTATGTTCATTCCAGCACTATTCACAATAGCAAAGACATAGAATCAACCCAAATGCTAACTGATGATAGACTAAATAAAGAAAATATGGTACACCAAGGAATACAAGGAAGCCTTAAAAAGGAATAAGATCATGTTCTTTGCAGAGACATGGATGGAGCTTGTAGCCATTATCCTCAACAAACTAATGCAGGAACAGAAAACAACCAAATACCTCATGTTCTCACTTATAAGTGGAAGCGGAATGATGAGAACACACGGATGCATGTGGAGAACAACACACACTGGGGCATGTTTTGGGAGCAGGTGCAGAGAGAGCATTAGGAAGAAGAGCTAATGCACTCTGGTCTTGATACCTAGGTGATGGGTTGATCTGTGCAGCAAACAACCGTGGCACATGTTTACCTATTTAACAAACCTGCACATTCTGCACATGTACCCTAGAACTTAAAGGAAAAAAAAAAAGAAAAAAAATCTGTACATGTGATAAAAAGAGCATGAAATTATACAAACACATTGTATCAATGTCAATATCTAGTTATATTTTTGTACTGTAGCTTCATAAAATGTAACAAATGGGTTACCAGTGTCACAAACAAGATAGGAAAACAAGACCTCTGTGTACTCACTTTACAACTGTCTGTGAATCTATAATTTTCAAAATAAAAAATAAGGATAAAAAAACAGGGTAGCATTTGATGAATGCTTTTTTTTCAGTCAGCTGTTCTAAGTTGATACTAAGAATAAAACCTTTTAAAAATTGAACCTTTCTGAATTCAGAAATGTCCTGCATCATCATGAAAACAGCCTGTATTTTATTCTCCAAGAATTAGTTTTGGGAGAAGGAGACAAAAGCACTCACATTTTGACTGCCTACCTTGTGCCCAGTAGATAGTAAGGAATTTTTGCCTACTTTCTCACAATAACCTGGGGAGGAGGTAGTAGGATCCTTATTTTATGTTTGGGAAAATAATCCTAGAAAGATAGTAACTTAAAATCCTACAGTTAGTAAGTAGTTGAGCTAAGATTCAGATCCAAGTGTGACTAACTCCAAAGCTTGTACTTCTTCCTGCATCGCTGGGCCTCCTCTGCAAATGGAATGCCATATGTGTTTACAAGAAAGAATATTTTATTGCTGGAATGTGATCCACCCAGCAGTCAGACAGTTGCCAACGGTGGCAGTATACTTGAGAAATGTTCCTTCTCAAGATCTCCTTCAATCTGAATAAACTTCAACAAGATAATCATTTCAAAAGTTCTTTCAGATATCTTGTTCAGTTCACAGCCTGCCTTGTCAGCCCACGCATGAGTGAGAGACAGAAGCTCTGTGAAGCACTGAGGTAACAGGCAGATAGCAAAAGCCTGGGAAACAAGTGCTGGGCTAATGCACAATGATGGCACAAACTGCTTCTTAGGCCACTCAAAACTGTGTCCTTTATTTGGAATTATCCTCAAAAATTAATCATGGTAGCAAGTTAAATTGGGACAATTTTGATTTACAAACTTATAAATAAAGGGTAGTTTGTTATCTAATACAATTAATCTTGAAATTATTTTAATCATGGAAATACTTGCCTGTAACATTGGTTGCTACCAGGTTCTTTCTTTGAGGCTTCCAAAAGACATGAGACATGAAAAGCTAAGTCAAACTTATATCTAAATGGGGGTGTGGAGGGAAAACAAAAGCAAATGAAAAAGTGATAAATTGTAAGATGCCGCTTCCATGTGCAGTGTGAGAAAAGGGAGAGATTATTGAGAGCTGAGGGGACTAGAGACATTTTCTTGAAAGGTAGTGGATTGAGTAGCATTTGGGTAGTCAGATGAAGGGGGAAAAACATTTTAGACCTGGAAATGGGAAATTGTGAAAAGATACTTAGGACTTGGGCTGTGCTATTAATATTAAACATTTCTCCCCTCAGGTTTCTACCCCATTTGAAAGGACTTACATGCTTCTAAAGCACATCCTTTTATGCCTTACACTTATCCTGTCTGTGGGCTTTTATAGTACCTTACAAGGCATGTCAAAGGGCACAATTCTTTGACTTTTCTTAGGTTTTTTTAATGACTGTGAAACATTCTTAATCTCTGCAACACAAATTGCATTTTTCTCTGCTCATCTTTGCATTTGTGTGTGTGTGTATGTGTGCTCAGGAAAGGAATAAACTCTACATAGATGTCTTAAAGTACTTTTGTTTTTATAGTAAAACAGACCGTAATCTGTTTACTGTAGCAATATGTTTTAGTTTTTATTTAACTTTTAGGTTTTTTTCCAATTATAAAATATCAGTTCATCAGCATTATTAGTCATTAGGGAAATGCAGATTAAAATAACTGTGGGATAGTACTTCAGGCTCACTTAGGGTGAGCAACTGCCACTGATTGCTTGAGATTGAAGGGTTTCCTGGGACATGGAATTTTCAGTGCTATTACCTGGAAATTCCCAGGCAAAGTGGGATAAGTTGGTCTAGTTAAACCCACTAGAGGGGCTGAAATAAAGACAATACCAGTGGTGTGGAGGATGTGTTTAAACTGGAACCTTCCTGCATTCATGAGAGATAGGGTATCAAATGGTACTGTCACCATAAATAAATAAATAAATAAATGGACATGGTGGTTCATGTCTGGAGTCCTGTTTACTTGGGAGGCTGAGGCAGGAAGATTGCTTGAGCCAGGGAAATCAAGGCTGCAATGAGCTGTGATCACACCACTGCATTTCAGCCTTGGCGACAAAGGGAGACCTGTTTCAAACAAACAAGAAATTGGTATTGTTTCTTTCAATATCTGTTTATTCAATTTCCTCCCCCCCATAGTAATTTTTAAGACAGAATTTTATAAGTGAAAAATTCTTTGAAAATTTTTTTAATAAGTGAAAAATTATTTTGGTGCAGTTGTCTTTGTGCAATTTACAGCAAAACACGAGGGGAAAGTAATCAGGTAGACTTTTTGCCCTCTCAAAACTTTTTTTTAATTTAATTTTTGTGGATACATAGGTATATCTATTTATGGGGTACATGAGATATTTTGGTACAGGCATGAAATGCATTAATAATGACATCCTACAAAATTGGGTATCCATCCCCTCAAACATTTAGCTTTTGTGTTACAATTATACTCTTAATTTAAAATGTACAGCTAAATTATTATTGACTATAGTCCTCCTGTTGTGCTATCAAATACTAGATCTTACTCATTCTTTCTATTTTTTCAACCCATTAAACCATCCCTAACTCCTCCTCACCCCGACTCACTACTCTTCTCAGCCTCTGTTAACCATCCTTTTCTCTCCATGAGTTTCATTGTTTTGATTTTTAGATTTCACAAATAAGTGAGAACATGCAACGTTTCTCTTTCTGTACCTGAAATATTTCACTTAACATAATGGCCTCTAGTTTCATTCATGTTGTTGCAAATGACAGAATGTCATTTTTTTTATGGCTGAATAGTAATTCATTGTGTATATGTACCACATTTTCTTTATCCATTAGTCTATTAATGGGCATTTAAGTTGCTTCTAAATCTTAGCTATTGTGAACAGTGCTGTTACAAACATGGGAGTGTAGATACCTCTTTGATATACAGATTTTCTGTCTTTCGGCTCTACTTTTAGTTTTTTGAGGAACCTTCAACCTTTCTTCATATTGGCTGTACTAATCTACATTCCCACCAACAATATATAAGAGTTTCCTTTTCTCCATATTGTCGCCGGCATTTGTTACTGCCTGACTTTTGCATATAAGCCACTTCAAAATGTTTCTTTAAAAAGCTGTTTTTACTCTAAGGTTTCCTTTTTTTTTTGAGGTGGAGTTTTGCTGTTGTTGCCCAGACTGGAATGCAGTGGTGTGATCTCAGCTCACTGCAGCCTCCACTTCCTGGGTTCAAGTGATTCTCCTGCTTCAGCCAACTGAGTAGCTGGGATTATAGGCATGCACCACCATGCTCCACTAATTTTGTATTTTTAGTAGAGATGGGGTTTCACCGTGTTGGCCAGGCTCATCTCGAACTCCTGACCTCAGGTATTCTGCCTGCATCAGCCTCCCAAAGTGCTGGGATTTACAGGTGTGAGCCACCCTGCCTGGCCTTAAGGTTTCCATTTTGTATACTCTTGGCATTTTGAAATTTAACTGCTCTTGATGACCCTGAAGACGTACAAATATGAGGATTTCTGGTTTTTGTGAGTGACATTTCTAGTAACAAATCAATTGATCAGCAAAGCTCTGTTCTGTACTCATTGTCTTTGCACTGTTATTCCCATGAAATTATAATTGACTACATTTTGTAGAGACATAAGCTATCATGGTATTCAAGAATTTAGGGAGTCAGAAGTCAGGATCTTTATCTCTACAGAAATAAAATGCCATCTTAAGGAAATCCCCAATATATTTATTAAGCTTATTAATTTCTCCCCTCCTCCCAAGTGGTAATCACTCTCTTGATTTCTAATACTATAGTTTTGTTCATTTTTTAACTTTACAGAAATTGAGTCATGTAGTTTGTATTCTTTTTTGTGTGTGGCTGCTTTTGCTCAATAGTTTGCTTTGGGATTCTCAATTTTTATCTTAGTTCAAGAAGAAGAATAGAATTGATGAACTTGAGAAAATCAAACTAAGATGACTAGTTTATGATTAAAAAACACCTCTGTGAATCTTCCAGTAAAATTGATCTTTCCTTCTTCAGAGTCCCCACCATATCCTGTACAAACATCCATCCCAGCACCTAATAACACTTCTTTGTACTTTATGATTTTATTTGTCTTCTACTAGACTGTAAATCCCTTAAAGGCAAACCATGTCTCAGTAATATTCACATCTCTAGTTCCTGGATAGACCCCCTAGCATAAAGAGGCACTTAGCAAATATATAAGATAAAAATGTCAAAATAATAAAATGTATAAGGTATAACTAAATGTGATACTTTAATATGTACTTGTTGACTTTTTAGTCTGGTAAAATGTACATGACCTAAAACTTACCATTTTAACCATTTTTAAGTATACAGTTCAGGGGCATTAAGTATATTCAGAATTGTGTGAAGTTTTAAATAGCGTTATACAGTATAGCGTGGCAATAGGTACCATTATTAGAAGAAGCCCTATGGATGGTAAGACCAGGGGTAGCACCATTTAGTGGTAAGTTTCCCATAGTCAAGGGTCTGACTTTTAACACTGCAAGGCCAAAAACTGAATGTTTTTAGTATAATTAGAGGTGACTATGCTGTGAATGACAGACTAGAAATTTTTTAAAAATAAGAATTAAAATGTCAATAGACAACACTAGTTTATTAGTTTATGGTAGAGATATTCCTTTCTAGTGATGCAAGGTGTCATTCCTGATTCAGGACATCCACTTGCCCACTTTTGATACCTAAGGAACTTTATTCTTTACCCAGAGAAAACTGATGAGCATAAAATTAAAATTAAAGTAAGTACAGAATCTTGTTCAGCCCGTAAGTGGTTGACCTATCGACCTGCTCATGACTTGGTCCAGAATGCTCATATTTTTCCGTAATTTGGACACACTGATGAAAATGTTTCCCTAAAACATACTTCTCTGTTCTAACCAATCTATTCTTCTATAATCATATTGGTTTTTGGAAGGATTGATATGATTGCTCAGGCTAGGTAACTGTCACAGAGTCTGTGTCTACTGCTTTTTGTGTGATTTGAATTGTTTAACTCTCATCAGGAAAGCTCTTATTCCGTTATCCTCAAGGAAATATGTTTGGAGGGGCTCTGAAGGAAAAGTGTGGGAAAAGGGACAAGAGTGAAGGAAGGATGTTTGTCCCACTGTTACCCCTATGTTTTATCTTCATGGTCAAGTTTCAAATTGTCATCTAGTAAAGAAACATTTTTTAGAAAATGATTATTAGTGATTTTGCCTTTGAACTGTTAACATTTTTCTATGAGGCTAAATTTAAGCTTTCCTAATTTAGGCATGTGATTTTTTGTTCATAGGAAGATTGAGATTTAGTCTTAAAAGCATATAAATGACCTTAAGTACAGGCACTAAAAGTTGTATTTGTAGTCTTAATAGTATATACATCTTGGATTTTATTTAATGTAATTTTGCCATTTTAAATACTAACAGGTTGCTCTCAAGGGAGTGGTATTTTACACTGTGCTCATGGCGACAGTCAGCAGACTCACCTGTTGAAGCAAGGTAAGAAGGAAGCATTCAAGCATACTGTTCTTTTTCCTTTTCCTATCTTAATTTTACATTTTTAAAATGTGCAGGAAGAAGCTCCATGAGCACTGGTATCAGCGGTGGGAAACGTCCTAGTCAGGAAGAGGACACACAGAGTATTGGTCCTAAAGTCCAGAGACAGAGCACTAATTAGGTAAATATTTTAGAGCTTTATTTCTTGCTTTAGTAGAGTATATAACATAAATTAAGATAATTTCAAAAATGGAGCAAATCTCTATTTTCAAACTAGAAAATCATGAGGCATTAATTTTTCACCAGTTTTTACAGAAACAGTTAATTTTTGGCCAAGAGAGATGCATCTGTACTGGACAAATTGTTGTGCCAGTTTTATAGTCATCTGAATCAATCTCTTTAAATTAAAAATGTTGATGATTTTGTGATCAAGCTTTTTCTTGGACAGTTTTTTCATTCTCTTATTATGTAACTGAGTCTAAAACAAAGTGGCCTGTTTATTTTAGTGACATTAATATAAGCTTTTTTATGAACTTTCCCCCAAATCATTGCCTCTTAAATGTTTATAAATTTCTTTTATCTGTTGTGATGCTTCTAAAATCTAAATTATTTTCAATTTGGCAATAGTTTAAAATTTCCTAAATGCTGGCCCTAAGTATCAGAAAGCCTTGCCTGCATTCAATTTAATTGGATTTGGGATGCCATTTTGTGATTTAAATGAATATGAAAAGTATTTATACGGTGTATTTGCCAGTTTTTAAAAACTTTTTGTTTCTTCAATGATCTTACATTATTTACATTTTTTATTGCTTAGTTTTTTATGCCAACCTAATTAGACTATAAATATCTTGAAGATAAGATTAATAAACACTCATCACATTTTTGTCATTGAATTCTTTGCAATCAAGCTTTACCTAGTTTTTTTTCCCCTCCCTTAAATCACAGAAAACATTCAGGAGGAGTACTGTTGCAGCTGAAATTGGTGGGGAGTTCAATACTTTTCAATTAAGTTATTTAAAAATATTCTTCATTGATGGAAAGCAGTTACATACTGAAATATGTTGTTTCAAATGACATTTCTGTGGTTTTTAACTTTTTAATGAATTTCACAAAGGACAAATGGTAATTTGTATATAAAGAACTTGGTAAGATAATTTGCTTAATGTAAATATAAATAGTCACAATTAGTATAGAACCATCAGTATATTTTTGATAATTTTTCATGTATGGTAAAAGTTATGACAAATTGATATTCTGATATAAAACTCAAAGTTTTGACAGTTAGTGGTAAAAAAGGAGGTTTTTAGACTTTCTTAAAAGACTTTGTTAAAATTTTAGGACAGAATTTTCTTGACGTTGTTTGATTGAACTTTGCACTCTTTGATAATAATGTTTTAGATAATGTGCATAATCAAAATTGGTATCATAGCCTCTCACAGACAGTATATGTTTTCAACTTTCATGTAAACCTTTTTTGACCCAAACTTGTAGAAGTTTGTGATAAGTGTTAATTTATGTGTTAAGTTCTCTTTGTCTCTGTTTCTTTGTTATTACTAAAATGACCTTGTTATTAAAGAATGTGCAAATATGAAATCTTGTGTGTGTGGTGTTTTTTTTTTCTTTTTGGTAAGGGAGAGAGCATTGCTCTGTGATACATGATTACAAATTACAAAGAGATTCTATAAACCACATCACCATTTTGAATGAAGGAACTACCATATGTTTAGTTAAACAGTATTTTTCAAAATTATATGCCAGAAAGATGTAAAACCAAAGGGATTTTTTTCAAGTAATGGCATTTGTAACCATAAATCAGGCAGTATGGGCTGGCAAATCAATAGAATGAGCTCTAGAGTCAAATGTCTAGTTCTTCCATTCATTAGCTTTGAGATCTTGAGCAAGTTTAACCTTCTGTGCCTTCTTTCTTCTCATCTATAAAATGGGGGTAAAGGTAATATGTGCTTTGTAGTTCAGTTCCATGCTTATGAGCTGGCATGTGATAGGGTACTCAGTAAATGTTAGCCACAGGGCTGCCATGCTGTGTCACCCCCTGGTGTGTACAGTGCACAGTCTGCATAGCTGTATGCCACAGCTCTGGCTGGCTGCCATTATTTTTATTACGATTGTTATTATCCCTTTACTATTCTGTAGTAGGCTAGATCTTGTCATTCTGAATTACAACCAGTGGCTTTTCAATTTTCCATCATTAGTCATGATAGATACTTAGTATGATAGTTATGTTTAAAGATAACCAAAGATAAAAATTTGAGTCCAAAATACAGAAACATTAATATTTTAGATGATAAGCAGTTTTTAAAATATCCTGGTTAGTGAATTGACAATGATCAGTAAATTCCATTACTGAGTCTGGGTGTGGTAGCTCAAGCCTATAATCCCAGCACTTTTGGAGGCTGAGGTGGGAGGATCACTTAAGCCCATGCTTAATCCCATGAGGTCGAGGCTGCAGTGAGCTGTGATCATGCCAGTGTACTCCAGAATGGGTGAACAGAGCAAGACCTCATCTGAGCTAAGTGTGGTGGCTCATGCCTGTAATCCCAGCACTTTTTGGGGTTGAGGCGGGAGGATCATTTAAGGCCAGAGTTTGAGACCAGCCCTGGAGACTTAGCAAGACCTCATCTCTATTTTTTAAAAAATCAGCCAGGCGCAGTGGCTCACGCCTGTAATCCCTGCACTTTGGGAGGCCGAGGCAGGTGGATCACGAGGTCAAGAGATCGAGACCATCCTGGTCAACATGGTGAAACCCTGTCTCTATTAAAAATACAAAAAATTAGCTGGGCATGGTGGCACTCGCCTGTAGTCCCAGCTACTCAGGAGGCTGAGGGAAGAGAATTGCCTGAACCCAGGAGGCGGAGGTTGCAGTGAGCCAAGATCACGCCATTGCACTCCAGCCTGGGTAACAAGAGCGAAACTCCATCTCAAAAAAAAAAAAAAAAAAAAAATTAAAATTAAAAAATTAATATAAAAATTAAAAAATATATAGTAAAGAAGACCAGGCACAGTGGCTCATGCCTGTAATTCTGGCACTTTGGGAGACTGAAGCAGGATGATACTTGAGACCTGGAGTTTAAGATTAACCTGAACATCTTGGAACCTCATCTCTACAAAAGAAAAAAAAAATTAGGCGGGTGTGGTGGTATGCACCTGTGGTCCCAGTTACTTGAGAGGCTGAGGAGGGAGGATGGCTTGATCTGGGGGTTTGAGGCTGCGGTGAACCATGATTGCACTACTGCACCCTAGCCTGGATGACAGGGTGAGACTTTGTCTCAGTGGTAAGGGGGAGAATCCATTACTGATAAAAAGAATAAAAATCTTGCATTTTATCGTTCTTTTTTCATCATTGTTAAAGTAATATTTTAATTATTTTTCATTGTAACTGTACCTCACATCCTACTCTTTGGACCTGGTTGTACAGTGCAGAGTTAAGAAATTCATAGACCTGAGATTTACCATCACCATCCAGGAGCTCAAAAATATCAGTTTTAATGTGAATAAATAAGCATTTTAGTAAAAGAACACCATTTCAGCATACGTACTGGTAGACTATTTGTAAATGTAAGGGGATTTTGTTTTATTTTTTTAGGGAGCTTTTTGGAAAACTTTTTCAGTTTGGTATAAATTGTGGTCAAAATTAATCACTAAAAGGAAAAGGAAAGGCATCCATCATTGTGCTCTATTTGAGCACATACACTGTGTTCAAATACAGTATTCTCCCCCTAACTAGAAATCCTACTTGTGGTTGAGGGATTTAAGACATTTTACTCATTTAGCAAACACTTCTTCAATTATTTTTTTTTTTTTCTGAGACGGCATCTTGCTCTATCGCCCAGGCTGGAGTGGAGTGATGTGATCTTGGCTCATTGCAACCTCTGCCTCCCATGTTCAAGCAGTTCTCTACTTCAGTCTCCCAAGTAGCTGGGATTACAGGCGCCCGCCACCATGTCCAGCTAATTTTTGTAATTTTAGTAGAGACAGGGTTTCACCATCTTGGCCAGGCTGGTCTTGAATTCTTGACCTCGTGATTCACCCGCCTCAGCCTCCCAAAGTGCTGGGACCACAGGCGTGAGCCACCACACCCAGCCACTTCAGTTCTTTTTTTTTTTTTTTGTAATGGTATCTATTGTTAGTTATTAGTTGTGCTGCTTTAGTTTTTCTAATAGGGCCAAGAACATTAGAGAAGAAGTTATTAATATTTGAAGCATGTTGTAAAAATGCAAATATGCATCTCTCTGGGAAGCATTCCATAACCTTGTTCAGATTCTCAATGAGGCTTTTAAACCCAGAAGGTTAAAAACCACTGGATAGAGGCAAACACAAGTTGGTTTGCTCTATTTTTTAATGAAGGTTTCTGCTTATGTCTGACCACACTTCACTCACCATTTAAGAACATCAGTGTGCTCAGGGCAGGCATGTTTGTTTTAAATATTGTTACTCTAAGATGCATAGGTCACTAAATGTCTCTAAGCATTTTTACTGTTCAAATTACAAACACCTTGGGCCATTCATTTTTCACATTAATGCTATTCATCCATCCCATGGCCCCTTTGAATTTCTAAAGGCTATGTGATTCAGAGTCATAGCCAGTTTGAAAACAACTAAAATTTATTTAATATCTTGGTATAATAATAATCCTACTTATTAACTAAAATCGCTTTATTAACTGGCAGTGGTTAATGGCCTGAAATAATGGAAATTTTTCAAATACATCCCATTAGTGCACAGATACTAGAGCAGCCTTTAAATCGAATGTCTTTTTTTTTTTTTTTGAAGTTTTTTTTTTTTGGTTGCATTTTAGGTTTGGGGGTACACTGGTCATTAGAGAAATGCAAATCAAAACTACATTGAGATACCATTTCACGCCAGTTAAAATGGTGATCATTAAAAAATATGGAGACAACAGATGCTGGAGAGGATGTGGAGAAATAGGAACACTTTTACACTATTGGAAGTGTAAATTCAACCATTGTGGAACCATTGTGGAAAACAGTGTGGCTATTCCTCAAGGACCTAGAAATAGAAATTCCATTTGACCCAGCAATCTCATTACTGAATATATATCCAAAGGATTATAAATTGTTCTGCTATAAGGACACATGCACACAAATGTTCATTGCAGCACTGTTTACAATAGCAAAGACCTGGAACCAACCCAAATGCCCTTCA